TGAATTGGCTGTCTGTTGTGATTGCAGCTTTTTGACGTTAAGCTTTCCTTGCATATCTGGCGCACATTTTTTGCTGCACAGAGGCGGGTGCGTATCTTGGCTGCAACAAGATAGTGGTCCGAGTCTATGTTTGGCCCTCGGAATGAATGCACGTTTAAAACACTGGAAGCGTGGCTTCCGTTTATCACAACATGATCGATTTTGTTTCTCGTTTTTTGATCCGGAGACAGCCACGTAGCTTGATGAATATTTTTATGCTTGAACCTAGTCCTCCATGGCTCCGGCGAAGTCGATCAGCCCCAGTCCGTTGTTGGACTTTTCGTCGTGGATTCTGAATTTTCCGAAGGTGGTTCCAAAGATCCCTTCCTTGCTCACGCTGGCATTGAAGTCGCCAATAACGATTTTATGTCCTGGCGGGGCAGCGCTCGTACGTGAACTCTATACCTCTTCCTTCTCTTCCGTCGGGGCATGGGCGCAGATGAGCGAGATGTTGAAGAATATCACTTTGATGCGGACGCTTGTCTACTGGGGTGAACTGGGGATACTCGGCGACGGAGTCTCTCTCCCGCCGTAAATCCAACACCGAATTTTCGCTTCTTTACATGGCAGCTGTAGTATACGTCGCAAGGCCCCAGGCATTGCTTGCCTTGCCCAGTCCAACGCATTTCATGGATGATGTGAGCTTTTGCTCTTACGAGGACATCAATCAGCCTGGCAGAGGCACTTCCCCGTCTCATCCGGCGGTCTCATCTGAGGCATTTCTTCGCTTCTTCCCCGGAAGGGGTTTTTACTTGGCGGGTCCCAAACCAAGCGCAAAACCCATTGCTGGGACGGGGGTGGTATCGCAACCAAATACACTATATCAACAGTGAGCCGCTTGCTCCAAGACAGACACCCGCTTGCAGCCGCACCTTCTGGTGAACAGACGTGGCACACTTCAGTGAGCCCTTAAACCGAATAAGTCGGAGTGGCCCCACCGAAGCTCCCTCTCTTTCTGCCGTGACCCAGGGCTCCACTTGGATTGGTACGCGCATGGGTTGCTCATGGGTTGAGTATAGCCGTGTAACCGTAACTGCCTTTCAGCGAGGCTGGCTGAATTTCCAAAGTGAAAAAGGGTGATTTGTCAAAAATCAAATTAAAACTACATCTACCAAAAACTTTTAATTATCCTCCGAAAATCAATGAATGGATTTCTTCTGCTTAAACTAACGGAGTAAGCTAATCATTAAAAAATATATTTCGCATCAAATTAAGAATTAGACTCTTTAACTCAATTAGAAAAAAACGGCTTATCAGAAGATCGCGCGGGAGAATTGGAAAACGTTTATCCATAGTTCAGCGAATGCAAGCTATGGCAAGACTTAAGCCGTATCGAGTATTAATTTATTTATTTATTTACCAAAATTATGTTAGATTAAGTAAATTTTATAAAAACCGCACCCATTTACTCTACCCCAATGTTCCCACCAAATGTGGTATTTTTCAATAATGACCAAAAAACATGTTTAAAACTTGACTTCGGTCAGCTCCCACGTTAAAAGTTTTAAGCTAAAATGAAAAAAGGGTGATATCCTCTTAAAACTAAATTTATAGAAGTTAACACAGTTGTCAAAGGGATATGAAATGACGAGAGAATGGAAACAGTCTCATTAAAACTCGATCAAAATGACCCCAAAAATATGCTGCGCTTTCGCATAGTGTTAAGCCATTGTATCATTTTAGACCGTCAGTAAAGTAACTTTAAATCGGTTTGAAGCCACAGATGTGAATAAAGTTCTGGAAGTCATCAATTTACGAATATGTCCTATTTACGTCAAATCGAAAAATACACGGTATTTACTCAAAACAAAATTAGTAGAGATACGCGAACTATGAAAAAAACGTTAACTAAAGATAGTTTAGTGGAACAAGTGTATTACTCAAGATTCTAGGACGGGTGTAGAGAAAATTTTTTATTTATCCAAGCAAAATATGAATCTTTCGCAAACATCTATCTATAGCGGAATACTCTAGGACGGGTGTAGAGAAAATTTTTATACCCGAGCGCTCTTGTGCAGAAGGGTATTATAACTTTGTTCACATAACGGTTGTTTGTAACAGGCAAAACGAATCGAGATAGATATAGACAAATGTATACATAAATGATCAGAATGAAAAGAGAAATCGATTAAGCGGTGACTGTCTGTCCGTCCGTCCGTCCGTCCGTCCGTCCGTCCGTCTGTGCACACGATAACTCGAGTAAAAATTGAGATATCTTAACGAAACTTGGTACGTGGACTTCTTTTGGGCATAGGACGGATGGTATTGAAAATGGGCGAAATCGGACAATAACCACGCCTACCTCCCATATAACGGTAATTTTCAGAAATACGAAAAGTGCGATATTTTAGTAACTACTGAAGATAATTCACTCAAAATTGATATTTACAATGAGTTTTAGACGAAAAATAAGAATATTAAAAAATTTTGGCAAATGGGCGTAGCCACGCCTACTTATGGTTACATGTGTATATCTTGGTAACCGCTGCACCAATTTCTTCCAAACTTGGCACAGTTGTTGGTCCTGCTACAACATACCAAATGGCCGAAAATTTTTAAAATCGGACAATAACCACGCCCACATCCCATATAACGGTAATTTAGAAAAATACGAAATCCTCGATAAATCAGTAAATATTAAAGCTAATTTATTCAAAATTGATGGTTGCAACAATTTTTTACCAAGAAATACGCTTATGATACAATTTTGGAAAATGGGCGTGGCACCGCCCACTTATGATCACATATATGTATCTCGCTAACCGTTCTAGCAATTTGAACCAAACTCGGTATGGTTATTGTGCTTGCCACATAAAAGCAAAGCGTTGAAAATTATTGAAATCGGACTAAAATTACGACCGCTTTTCATATAACGGTATATTTCAGAAATGCTTGAAACTGCAATATTTCGAAATTTAAGGACGCTAATTTACTTAAAATTTATACACCCCGGCTTATCGTGTAGCGGTAGCTTTCGGAAAGGTGGAAAACATATATTTAATAATTGCGCCGGGTATTTAATGTTCGGCTCCGCCCGAACTTAGACTTTCTTACTTGTTTATTTATCCAAGCAAAATATGAATCTTTCGCAAACATCTATCTATAGCGGAATACTTGCCTTTATTTTAATATATTAAATATTTTTTTCTGAAAACCTGTTTAAAAGATATAACCCATTTCATGCGTACCGATTTTGAGTGAACTATGCTTTATATATATACATACATGCATACATATCGCACGTTTAATATTATAACGAAGTATTTCAAAATTTCAATTTTGTGGGAAACGCAATCAAAGTTTTATCAGTTCATACAGTTGGTATACAAAATAACAGATGGAAAGACACATATCTTCCCCATATTTGGGAAGTTTGGTTATCTGTTAGACTGAACATATTCTACTTATCGTCGTTTAAAGTACAAAACCGCGTATCGTCATTCTGCAAAAATGCGTAACTGGCATTTGCTTCCAAAAATTGGATTTGCTCACACAAGCTCTTGGCTGAATCTTTATCCATTCGTCCTGAAATATACTAGCCAGAAATGCGATTGTTTTATAAAAAAGAGAACCATTTTGAAATATGAGTGTTTGTACTACATATCTAGAAAATAATTTATACAACCTCACATACGCGGTTTTGCATTATCTTGATATGCGGTGTTGCATTTTGTTCATACGCATGCTTGTGTGATGAAATCTCCAAAAACGCAAATTTTGAGCTAAATCTCTATATTATTAAACGTGCGATATGTACATACAAACTTAAGTATGTACACATATAGGTACATAGCCGTATGCATTCTCGGAGTTTGCATAATAGAAAGTCAAATTCATTTGTACGGCATTTCCTTTTACTCTTAATATGCCTAGATCTATGCAACCATTTGCAATAGCAAGTCAACACGGGGTGCTTCTAATGAAATTCAACATTTTCTGCTGCAATACACATGCTAAGCCCTACCGAAACCAAAGATGTATACATAACGCTCGTATCTTTCTTCGAACCAAAAACTGCATATTACTGCGAAAAACCCCGTTTCGCTGTATCTCAATTTAAAAATAAAACCATTTTTATAGTACAGTATTTTTGAAACAGTTTTCCAATAAAATAAAGGAATTTCGGGTAGTTTGTGTACCGCTGTAAACCCCTAGACAAAATGGTGTGTCTATAAGAAGCCATGTATGTATATCCAAATTTCTCACTTTCTACAAAAATTAAAGGTGCACAACAACAATATTCTAGTTTTAAAAGATACTATTCTCGATAAGTTCTTTGGCCGATTCTTAAATGAAGTATTCTTATTTAGTTATTTGATTATGGCATCGGCCAATTCTTTGCCGATTAAATCCTGAATATAATTTCATTTTAAGAACAAATGCTTTTAAAAAATTTTATAATAACAAAAGTAAAAAAAAGTATTATATGGGCTGTATGCAGCTCTCAAGAAAACGGTCAAGAAAATTTTGCCATTATTTCGTGTGTGTGTCTAAGGAATTTTGACATTTTTGATACTTCACAGCCTGTTGCCTCACTCTTTCCTCCAGAAATAATGGACGGGCATATATTTCTGTTGCAAACCTGGGCTGCCTTGTGCTCTTTTTTCACAAAAAACTTTAGAAAACCATAGTAGAAAGCGTAGTAAATTTCTTAAGAACTGCGTACTGCCTTAAGGAAATTTGACTCAAGAAAATTTCTTAGCCATTTCTTGTACGTGATTTTATATGGAGTTTTTGCTTTTCTTGAGAGCTGCATACAGGCCTATACTGCGAAAAAGGGTACAGATCCGAGCGTTATGTATACGCATCAAAAACTGTAAATAAAACAAAAAGAAACTCAATCTTTTGCGAAATACGTTTGGTTTACAAAAAACTTATACATATGCACTTACATACATACATATGCACGCTAAAGTACTTATTCACGTTTTTCTTCACCCTATACATATGTATGTATGTAGCGTTGATTCTATTATGCTACTGGAGGAAGGCTATGATGTGGTCTCGGTGGATGCCTCAGACAAAATGCTGAAATACGCTTTGAAGGAACGTTGGAACAGGCGAAAAGAACCAGCATTCGATCGGTGGAGTAAGTAGTACATTTTAAGATCTTCAAAATACTACTACTGATTACTTTAACAGTTATAGAAGAAGCTAACTGGTTGACGTTGTACGAGGATATACAACCAATTGTTGGAGATGGGTTTGACGCTGTTATTTGCTTAGGAAATTCATTCGCCCATCTAATGGATAATAGCGGTGATCAACGCGAACATAAGCAGGCCATTCAAAATTTTCAAAAATGTCTTAAGCCAGGTGGAATTCTACTTATAGATCACCGAAATTATGACAATATTCTGGAGACGGGAGAGACTCCATCAAAAAGCATATACTATAATGTGAGTATTTCTTTTTTTATATCGCATTGAGAAATGCTGTTATTTGTAAATATTATCAATCACACAATCTTTGATAAAACTTAGGATTCTTAAAAGTTTTGTTATTTATAGTGCTTATTAAAACATTGAGAAATTAGCCCTTTGAGATTTTGACCTTGATTTACTAGTGGAGCCACGAATCGAAATCGCGTCCAATAAATAGTTATTCTCCATTTGTCGGTCGGTAATTTGACTCAGCGCTATACCGAAAGTAACGTAAGCTGGCGAACCGTCCTCCTTTGAGGAAGATTGTCCTCCTCAAACGTGATTTGCCCTCCTCAAAAATTTTGTCCTTCTCTGTCCTCCTTTTGAGCAAAAATGTCCTCCTTGTCCTCCTTTTCAAGTTTTGAAGCAGCGATGAAATTTTCTAAAAATTTCGTTCAGAATATTATTATTTCTAAATTGTACACAATCATTGTATTTAAAAGGCGTATACACTGTTCAATTTTCAATTTAATGATGTAAACTTTTGATTCGACTAAGAAGACTTAAAATAAGTATGGTCGCTGCATTGAAGCGCAAATTTGCTTAAAATTTTTTAGAAAATGTGTTATTTCACATCCAAGTACATAACCAACAAGTAATATTTAAGCAAAAAAACAAGACTGACTTCAATTCTCATTTAAAAGTTTAAGATTATCGTAAATCTCTTCATGATCCAACGATCGGGTTTAAACCAAATTATAATGGGACTACCTCTGAGGTAACATATTTCCTTTAAAAAGAGAATTATAGAAATCGGTTAACGTGGTCCAAAGTTATGCGATAACACACATAAAAAAAAATAAGTAAATAAATAAATATTCCGACGAATTGATAACCTTCATCCTTTTTGTGAAGTCGGTTAAAAATAATAACACACGCTTTTGCGGTTTTCCCCCTTAAAAAACTAATCAGCGATTTGGGTACGTATAGCTACCACGCTGCCAAAAAATAATAAAAAATTTCATCACGAAATTTTTTCGAGAAGATAACTTTCATAATTTTTCTTAGTATTACCGTGCATTGCTAGCGTTAACTTCGTAAACTCTCTATGAGTATTATTACAAAAACTATTGTAAGTAAAAATTGTATTATTTTTATTTATTTTTAAAAGAAATATAATTATAAATAATTATATTACATTGCAGAGGCGCTAGCGACAAAGGCTATCGGCCTGAACTTAAACTAAAGGATTTTTTATACTAGTATTATATAAAATATCCCTAGCTACAATTCTAAAAACGTATGTATGTATGTTTATTAGATTTGATATAAAAGATTGTTTTGGTATATAAAGTTGTAAACTGCTTTTACATTTTCGATAGAAAAACTTTTTAATAAATTTGTTGGCGTATTATTTTGAAAAATATTATTCCTAGCAATAGAAAATTTTGGACATTGGTCTAAAATGTGATTAATGGACAATGTACAGTTGCATCTGGTGCAAGTTGGTGGTATCTTTCCAGTTAATAGATGTTCGTGAGTGATTTTCGTGTGTCCTAGCCGGCATCTTGTAAATATCTTTAGTTGTTGTATTGTAGCTCCCTGTGGGATAGTGGGCCTACTCCGATTTGGGTTGACGTGAGTGTAAGCATGTCGATACGTTGCCCATTTGTTCTCCGTTTTTACTTTCATAAGCGATTTGACTTTCCGGACGATGTCAGATTTGATGCCGATGTCAAAGTATATGCTCGGGGATTTGCTAATGTTTTTTGCTGCTTCATCTGCAAGTTCGTTGCCACTTATTCCGCAATGTCCTGGAACCCACATTATTTTGATTCTTGATTTGCATTTAATAAGCATGGACCGTGTTTTTTCTATCAATGGTTCATTATTTCTTGTGTTTTGTAGGGCATTTATAGAGGCCTTGCTATCCGTGCAAATTATGTGTTTACCTTTAACTGTGGTTGCGTAGTCGATAGCTACGCTAATCGCCAGCGCTTCGAGGGCTAAGATAGAGCTGTGGGCGAACAGAAGTCCGGATTTGATGAGTGCCCCTTTTTCTGAAACTACTGCAAAGGACGTATTGTATTCATCCTGGGAGCCATCTGTGTATAAAAATCTCCAACCTTTGGTACTCAACTCATGTTTTATCTCAAGAAAAGTATTTCTGTATAGTAAAGGAGGAGTGTTTTGCTTTGGATAAGTCAAAAGCTGGTTAATAAAAGTAGCTGGTAGTAGGTTCCAGGGTGGAAATTGATTTGTGGCTTTTCATGCACATTGGTAAAAGTTCTAACATGTAACTCTCGACGTGCTGGAAAAGAACCAAAGATTTATTTTAATTTAATATACCTAGATATTTAAAAAAATAACTTAATTATTGGAAAGGGTAAAAATTAGATTTCGCAGTCTTGTATAATCCAATCGAAAACAGCTCAATTTTGCTATCATACTAAAAATCAACCTCCACTAAATTTTCTGCAAATGAAAATCTGGTTGTCAAGTTAACAGGCAGGCAGTGTTTATCAAGATAACAGCTGTCTCCATTGACAATACATATATTTACGGTGACCATATTTATGAAAGCCAAATACAGGATAAAAGTAATTTTGCAAATTTTTTTCAACACTTTTTTCCCTGAAATAGTATCGTTATAGTAACATCACAAATTTGGAGTATAATTTTCTCGAGATGTTTACCCCGTAAAATTTGTTAAAAAAATTCGTTAAATTTTAGTATAATAAAGTTCAACTTTAAGTCGATAAGGCTTACCACTAATTTTTGGAATTTTTATACCCGAGCGCACTTGTGCACAAGGGTATTATAACTTTGTTCACATAACGGTTGTTTGTAACAGGCAAAACGAATCGAGATAGATATAGACAAATGTATACATAAATGATCAGAATGAAAAGAGAAATCGATTAAGCGGTGACTGTCTGTCCGTCCGTCCGT